AATCTTGCTCCTACGTATCCCCAGGTATGATAGGGAACTTAAAGCTATGTAGTTTTGGATAGAAAATATTTGTTTGTTGTTCGATTTTAGCAAGGATATTTAGGTTGCATTCGAGGGATAAAATATTGCTTTCTACTAGCGCATGGGAGAAATGAACATTGTTTGTGCTTCGCGTCATAAAGGATCATGTTTTGATTGCATTCGAGCGGAAAATATTACTTGCTACTCACACATGGAAGGAATGAAATGTTTTTTATGCTTTGCGTCAGAATGGATAGAACATCTTTCGTTTATGAAAAAAATTTAGGTCACACTAAGGGGAAAAATAGATTTGATTGGTGGAAGTTGTTTTTGAAAGACGAATAATCAACTTGAACAAGGTGTACACCAAGTATTAAATTATTCGAGGATAAAAAGGGCGTGCATCAAATTTTTCTTTATTAATCCATTTATTTATTAAAATTATTTAGTGGAAGATGAGAAATTTATTTAGACAGGGTGTGCACCTTGTGTTCGACTACTCAAGGATAAAAAGGGTGTGCACCCAATTTTCATTTTTTAATTCGAGTTTGATTATGTATTTTTGGTGGTGGAAGATGAATAATTGGTTGGAACAAAATATACACCTTACATCCAACTACTCAAGCATAAAAAGAGTGTGCACCCATTTTCTTTTTTTAATCTGAGTTTGATTACGAAAAGATTTTAATTTCATCGTAAAAATAAGTTTGATTTTATATGTTGAAAATAAAAGAAGTTATTGATTTTTTATAATATACATTTATTTAATTCAATAAAAAATGCACTTAAATCAATAGATTAAAAAAAATCATGAAAGATTGTGCGAATATAAATGGGTTTAAAGGCTAATCTAAATAATAATTGTTAGAAAGGAAGAAAAAAAGAAAGAAACGGCATTATAAAAAAAACTAACAAAAACATAAATCAGAGTTTGATATATATGGTGTAAATAGCAATGGGCATAGAATCCAATAAAAAATAAGAAAACTAAATATAATAAATGATAAATAAATAACAATAGTATAAAAAAGGATGCGTGGAAACGGAAAACAACAAGAATCCTTTTTCTCGTGTGTGTGTGTGTGTGTGCGCGCGCGCGTGTCTGTGGGGGGGGGGGGGGGGGGGGGGGGGCGTGTGTGTGTGTGTGTGTGTGTGTGTGGGCGTGCGTGTGTGCATGTGTGTGTGTGTGTGTGTGTGTGTGTGTGTGTGTGTGTGTGTGAGAGAGAGAGAGAGAGAGAGAGAGAGAGAGAGAGAGAGATTGATTTGGGAGATATTTTTATGTTTTGTCTTTTGTGGTGATTTAGTAATGATAAATAATAATGAATAAAAACTACTTTTTTTTAGTTGATTTAAAATTTTATATCATCATTAATGATCAATTCTAAAGGTTACTTAAAAAATATAAATGAAAGCTAACAAACCTACTATTGCAATATCCAGAACGAGAACGTGTGACTTAAAAAAATGTGAAAGTCAGACGAAATGCGTCCATCTGGTTTATGATAATCAATTCTGATTACGATTACATGATCATGACAAGACCCAACATTCATTGACTCTGCACTTTATTAAAACTAACAGATAACTCGATTTAAACCATTTATGTAAAATTAGTCAGACTCGATGCTTTGAATCAAAATTGAAGAAATGCGCTACTATTTGTTTTTTTTAAACACTATGCATGAATTTGAATTGAATTTAAATGTCAAGGAAATGGAAATTCTTGAACAAAAATAGGGTACGAAATTAATTAAATTGGGCATTGGATTACTAACCTTGCAGGTCCATCCCCTCTGATCCACCGCATCGGAGACTTGCAACACCACATCAGGAATTCAACACCATAATCCGAGCATAATTCTGGTTCCAATCTGGAACAAGATCCATGTCTCTACAGTCTATATAAGTCTTCCACTTGATTACCTAAACCAATCATGTTCTTGGTATTCATGTCCTACATAACACAAGTATGTGCAGAAAATAGGACAAAACAATTCATGATTTGGCGCAACCATGAAATTGAAATTAAATTTAAGTGGAATTCTGATGAAAAGGGGGCATGAGTAAGGTATATATTATGTGAAAGAGTGATTTTACCAACATGTTTGACATATATAAGTCTACAATTGGGAAGAATAAATTTTACAATCTTAATTTTGTAATAAGAGCTAAACAAACTCAATACATGATCATTGAAACCAGAGTCTATAATCCAAGAATTAATTTGGATAACTCACTTAGAAATGCTATTTTAAATGATACCTTATGTGGATTTAACAAATGAATGATTGCCATATATGGATGAGGTTGAAACTTAGTTTCTGGTTGAAGCTTGAAATGAGTTTGCTAAGTTTTTTTATTGAAGAAAGTTGACAATTCGATCATATTGAACTCGAGAAATAGGAACATTGTTACTTGCAACACAAAACACTTAAGTTTCACCACTAAGGTGATTAGTTTCATTTCCATCATTGTAAGTAATATTCATAGATGGTTTTCTTTTTTATAATTGGGGTGTTTACACTTTTAACAATAGAAATATATGTTATGTCCATCACAGTGATAAAATTTGCAAACTCTATCAGAATTATTCAAATTGAAATTATGAAAGTTACCTTAATTCTTGAATTTGTACATGTGTGCATCATTAACCAAAATTAAGGCATCTCTAGTAGGCATCGAATTCTTATGATTGATTTCTTCTTGAATAACAAGAGAATAAACATGATTGAGGATGGTAAAGGATCCATAAGAAATACTTGGGTTTTCACAATAAAAAGGTGTCATTCAAACTTATCATAAATTTAATGACTTGATCTTCAAGTTTGTAACCTTGAGGAACTTGTAAAGCAACATAACAACATTGTTGAATACATGTGCGAATTAGTAAATGGCCATGTGAAATAAGTTTTTTTCTACAAACCTTTCAACTCAAGAAAGTACTCAATAACTGATCTAGAATTTTATTTCTCATTATTGATAGAAGACCGAAGGGTGGCAATGTGAATTCTACTCGCTTTTGAGAATCTTTCATGTTGATCATTCCATACATTAAAAGCATTCTCATGAAAAATAATTGTAGATGTAATTTGTTCTAACACGGAGTTAATAACCTGTGAATAGATTAGATGATTTTACATTTTCGATTGGTTTGGATTCAAATCAATAGCATTAGGGATTTCGATTGACTATCGATGAACTTGAGCTTGTTCTTGACTCCCTATGCTCATCTCATTAATCTACTCCAACATAAGTAATTTGAACCATCCAATTTTTGAGTTACATTAATAGAGTTTGAACCTTTACTCAAATGAACATTAAAGGTTGATTCATTGTCAATTTGATAAACTTGAGGAGCACCGCGCTGAGACATATTGGCTAGGATCAATGAAAAGAACATATGTTGAAGAAAACTGAACTAGAATCAAAGTTAGGAACACAGAAATTATGTAGTGAAAGTTTCGTAACCTAATTGAAGTTTCAAGGACAAAAATGAATGGATTGTATAGAAGGTCAAAGGTAAAATATGATACTGTATAAAGATTACACTTATTTTTTTAGATATTTGATGCTTTTCACCCCTCAAATATTTTTATTTGAACCCCTGCTACTCTCTCTCTCATCCAATCACTTGTGTTTATTGTCTGCTTTTTATGATTGGTCAGAACATACCTCAGGGCTCAAAAGAGTGTTTAGAAAGGTACATATAAATTAAGCGCACTCGTGGAGGTACTTATAGATTATCAACCAAGAATGTTTTCACATCCACAATGAAAGTTAAATCTACAACCTCTCGGTATGTGAGTCAACTCCTTACCAACTTAGCCAACTTTTTTTTTAACTGAGATTCGTGTCTTCTATGCATTTTTAAAATTTAAATTATTATTTTTTTAAAATAGAAAAATAGGCTAAAAGTTGCAAGGCAAAATGATAATTTAACTAAAATTTTAAAGATTAAAACATTTTTCCCCAAAAGTTTATTGGAGTTGTAACTTTCAAAAACTTTAAGGACTAATTTACAATCTCTAAATATTTTAGAAGTCAAACTTGAATTTCATAATATTTGAGAATTGAAATTAATTAAAAAGGTTAAAGAGTTTAAGGGGATTACATAAAATAAGCCAAATGCCAGGAGAATTAGATGCAACAAAGCATATATTATTCATTCAATAAGCCAATTGTATCTCATGTATTAAGCCAAATGTCATCACATGTAAGATAGATATTAGTTATATTTTTTTTATAACAATAGTAGTTATATTTAGATCACAATAAACGGACCTTAATCATTGCAAGCCTTAATCACATTGTAAACTTTCTATTAAAGTGGTGTATGATAGAATTTGTGTAACTTTTATAATAACTACATTCTCATGTTTCATTTGTGAATTTTTTAAAAAGAGAGTGATGGAAATGATAAACGAGTAAAGATAAAATAAAATATTTAAAAATGAAAATATTATTGTTGTTATTACATTGACAAATACATAGAAAAATGGTTTTCACAATGGCTATATATGACTAACATAAGAATGGAAAATTTCTTGTGTGACACAAAATTATTCCATTTTGGTTGAACTCTGTCACACATCAAACATAAACATGAAAACTCAACTACTCGTATAAAGAAAGTAAAATAAAGCGTATTTTCGGCAAACATATGGTTAACATATTAGTAACAACCTTTATAATAATATGAAGAAAAAACAATAACAACGTGCAATACAACACATCATTATTGGATAAATCGAACAAGAATTTAAGACTTTGTCTTACATTGTTATTTTTCAATCTCCATCATATATCCACACGTTGTTTCTAACCACAAACAATTAAACAAGACGCAAAAACTGAATATAAAAAACAAATCAAATACTAAAGAACAAAGAAAAAGGAAAAGAATTTACAAACCGGTGGTGAAAAAAGGGTAGGGGAATTAATCATCCTCACCCTTTTACCATAGGGAAAGAAAAATTGAAATGAAAGTTTGGAGACAAGCAACAGGAATTCTAAAAGACAAAAACAGCATTTGGAATGCAAAATTCTCAAGAAAGGGTCCATGGCGCAATCCTGATCTTGAAACCATTATAATCAAAGCAACAAGCCATGATGAAAACCACATTGATTGTAAAAATGTGCAAAGAGTTTTCAAATGGTTAAGAACCTCTCCTTTGTATTTGAATCATCTTATTTGGGCTCTATCCATTAGAATGCAAAAAACAAAGAGTTGGGTCGTGGCCCTTAAAGGTTTGATGCTCATTCATGGCGTTTTTTGTATTGGCATCCCTATGGTACAAAAAATGGGCAGGTTACCATTTGATTTATCAAACTTTAATGATTCGTATTTGAACCCTTCAAAAGCTTGGGGTGTGAATGCTTTTGTTCGTTCTTATTTTGCTTATTTGGATCAAAGATCAGCTTTTGTTTCCTCCGAGGTTAAGAGTTTAAGGAAGAATAAAAATGATAACAAAGGGGTGGAAGTTGAAGATACATTAATGGAGGAGCTTGAGAAGTTGCAAAAGTTACAAACAATGATTGATATGCTTTTGCAAATCAAACCAAAACATATGAATATGAGTGTTGGTCTTGTTCTTGAAGCGATGGATTGTGTCGTAGTTGAGGTTTTTGATGTTTATAGTAAGTTTTGTAACAAGATTGCAGAGGTTTTGATGAGGATTTATGATATTGGTGGAAAAATGGAAGCTTATGTTGGTTTAAAGGTTTTGCAAAAAGCAATTGTTCAAGGAGATGAATTGGCTTATTATATTGAGTATTGTAGAGATATTGGTGTTCTTAATGCTTCTCAATGTCCTAAGATTGAAAGAATTTCTCAAGAAGATATTCAAGATCTTGAGAGAATAATTAGTGGTGCTTATTATACTAAGAAAAACATGGACGGTGTTAATGATGTTGTTGAAAATGAGAAGAATCAAGATAAAGCCATTGTGGGAAGAGATTACTTGCATCACAAGAAATTATCAGAGAATGGTTTGACAACACTTGTTACTCATCAATGGGAGGTGTTTTTTGATGAGACATTTGTCGATGATGTTAAAGGAAATAGTGTCACCATTGATGAAAAGGGTAATAATGTGATAACAAATAACCCTTTTGAGGAATCATATAGTCTTGTACCTTACAATCATGTTCATGTTAATCAAATTCTTCCTGACCTAATTAGTTTGTAGAAGAAGTAATTTTTTATTCCACATCCTTACTTCTGTGTTAGGAAACTATATTACATGTGAAAATTATGTTATTATTACTATTGTTATATGATAATTAGATACTAAGATTAATGTGAATTTAATAATATTATACTCCTCATCCCCTTCTTTTGACGTCATCTTGTTTTGAAGTTGAGTATTTTAAAGAGGAAATATTATATTTGTAGATTGTGGTTTTGACTTGATATAATTTAAATTTGAGCATTATTCATTACACACATGCATTACTCTCCCACTCTGACGAAATTTTCAAAATACTCTTAAAATATGTATTTGTTATCACATTCACATGATACATAACATAACATAAATATTTGTTTAGCTAAATCTAACATGGCATTTCATCACTAACAGATGGTTCTAGATGATTCATCATCTTTAGGATATATGTGGTTGATCTTGCAAGTGTCTCATTCATATAAATTGGACTCTTATTGTGTGAAAATGAATTGTACTCTGCATAACACTTACGTTTACATTCGTTTTCAACTCAAATTTACTGAACATAATCTTCTATTTATTATCAACCTTTGGTGAACGATACTTGATCTTAATCAATTTTTGATTGTCGGTGTAGTGTAAGAGATTCTACGATTTAGATTTAAGATCTACAAAAGAGGTGTACTATGTGACCCTAAATTCAAAAAGAGACCTCATGTTGTTGAAGCAAATAAATGCAACATACCAATAGTGGTTCATTTTGGAGTGTTTATGTTAAAACATATAATACATATTTATAGAAGTTTTAGATCATTATGGACTATACAAATACAATCATGTCTCTGGTGTTGGTCAAGGTACTGAAATCCATATTTACCTCTTTTTTATCATGTACAAAAAATATACATGGGTTTTCTCCAAACATTAAAATCCGAATGATATCATGTTAGCATCACATATACATATGATATAGGTTTTTTTCGGAGATTAGAATATGGATTCACACCAAGACGAATTGACAATACTTGTTTTATAAACTTGTTTTATCACATACAAACACATCAAAATGCTAATTCCAACATTTATACAAGTGGTGTTAGATATACATCAAAACACATACAAAATGTATTCATATTACATCCATGAAACTAACTAGCTAACTTTATATCAAGAAAAATGTGTCACCGCCTAAATGCATTATAAGATAAAAACAAAAATAAATCAACAAATGTTGTAATTTTGAAAGTCATCCAAAATACATAATGCTTCTGACTGAATTTTAAGGTGGTATACTTCAAAGTGAGAAAAATGTTTTCGAAAAACCATATCTTGTCAGATCAATACAAACTCAATTATATGCATTTGTTATAAGATGATAACATTGTGAATTTCATCTTCTTGTTCTTTTTTTTCATATAACCTCGCATATGATTCCTTATTTTGAACTCATATGTTGTCAGATCAATACAAACTCAATTATATGCACTTTTTATAAGATGATAACATTGTGAGTTTCATCTTCTTGTTCATTTTTCTCATATAATCTCGTGTATGATTCCTTATAGATCTTGAACTCTTTGATAAGATGCTGGTAGACAAGTGTTTGATTCTCCATTCATTTACCTAGAAAAGTTGAAACAACACAATAACTGTACTTACCATTACCTTTAACATCTACAATCCAGCGTGCATAAAAATATGCATTTATTTAATGTGTATCATTTTTAGTAAAGATGGTGAAGGCAATATTTTGCTGATGTGAGAACCTTTTATAGAACTTTTTTGGATTGTGAAATTAGAGAATCCTGATAAGGTGAGTCGACATGTTTGAAATAGGATGGAGACCACTTGGTTGAATTATCACTCGGTGTTAGTTTGACTTTCTTACGTTATGCATGTAGATACATAATGACATGCGTCTAATAGTTTCAACAATTGTTGCATTTCAGATCTTTGACATCTTATCGCTTTGTTGTTTCGGTTGCGAACATTGTATACTTGTCTAATATTTGAGACACCTCTAGGTATTTTTCTTTTCAAAGTTACGAGAATAATTTTGGACTGAGCCATGTTCAATGTGATGTGAAAACAAGTTTCTTTTCTTCGGCATTCAGACGATATACAATCAGATGACCAACTAATCTGTGATGCAAACCATGATTATGTACACCACAAATCACATTAAATGTATATGTACTATCTACCTTATGGTACCTGCGTAACTTAAAAGAACATCCATATTTTCTTGTTTTAGCATCATCACGTTTCAACTTTCAGATAAGGTCTTTATACTAACTATTTTTTTCGCATCTCATCGTTATAAATGTTCGTCTTCTATCAGAATTAAAATCCGACCTCAATAACAATGTCAAACTCTAATTTTATAAAATCCGACCTCTCGATAACAATGTCAAACTCTAATTTTATAGCCTTTCTGCAGGCCCATTCAAGAATTATGTTCAAGTAAAGTAAATTCATATAATTCAATTATGTAAAGTAAAGTAAACAAAGAAAAACCAGATTATATATATATATATATATATATATATATATATATATATATATATATATATATATATATATATATATATATATATATATATATATATATATATATATATATATATATATATATATATATATATATATATATATATATATATATATATATATATATATATATGATGATAAATGATATAAATGTATATTACCTATAATTTCATATAATTTTGCAGATATGATCCTGAAGAGTTCTACCATATAAGGTAATATGATGGATTCCAAAATCTGAAAGGTATATATAAATTTTATTTTTTAATTTGAATGGGGTGTATTTTTTTTATTTATTTGAATGGGGAGATTTGTTGACTTATTGTGTTGTGATGTCTCCGAATTTTAATCTCTAGACTGTATCAAAAGACATTTTCATATTTCCATAAGTTTTGAAACTGAAAGTACTGCCTAAGGTATAGTGAGCAATACTCTTTAATTTTTTAAAGTTAGAAATGTTGGATGGCATATTGATACCAAATCAAACACATACTTAATCTTTGGATGAAAAGTAAGAACTAGTAATGTTGGATTGCACTTTGATACCAAAACAAACACATACTTTATCTTCGAATGAAACTTATTTGTTAGGACGAAGTCTTTTTACACATTTATTTTGTATCTTCTTTTTTTACATGAAACTACAAAAAATGATTGCCATAAATAAAAGTTTCTTTTATGTGTCATATTATAAATTTGATTCAAACAATTAAAGATTGAGATAACCCAAAAAAAACTATAAGAAAAATTATTAATAAAGATTTCGAAATTACTGATGACTTTTGCAAAATGAAATCCATGGAGTAATGCTTAAATCAGTTTATTAAAACGAAACAGTTTTACTTTTTCCTTTCTTTTACTCTGAATGGTGAGTTTGAGTTGTTGATTCGAAACTCTTTCCTTACCATGTAGTCAGAGGCTCACAGCCCTTATGACTTATTTCTGGATCCATCCCTGCAAAGATAGACTCTTATCCTTATTGTATAGCCTCACAAAGAAACTGTAAGGTTAAACCATGTTCTGCTAAAACTCCAACTAAAACATTCATAAAACAACTAATGAACTTCCACTTATAAATTGCATCAACCATTCACAATAATAGAATAAAGGTTAAATCAAATAAACAAAGCTACCACATTTGAAACAACGATCACGTCAATTCAAAATTTCGATGATTTTAAATTAAATGTGAATGAGTATTATCCGATAATAGTCTATCTAGTGATAAATCATCTACATAAATGTTTAACTCCATGAAACATGGACTGTCATCATTGCAAAATAAGCCGAAGATGGACAAATAACTTGAGTATCCAAAACTTAGATAGACGCACCACAACAGAAAATTTATGGATGACCATGACCAGAATTCAACATCTGTATGAAAAATCATACAGGTGCATACACAGGCAAAACAGACCGACTTTCAAACCCAGCAGCAGCAGCAGCATCTATCTGATAGTGACAAACTTGTTGGTGCCATGTCTAGCCCAATGAGTCTTCAAATCAATAGGGTTAGCAAAATTATAACCTTCAGCTGCAAGCTTTTCTAAAACCTTTTTGAAAGCTCCTTGGCTCATTTTCCTCCCAGCTATCCTTGCGCCACGCCTTTTGACGCTCATCGGCAAAGGATAGATTGACACATTTGTGGTACAGCAAGCTGATTGCCAACCTCCACAGCCCCACCGATAACTCTGCTGAGGCTTCCCGGTGCATGAACAAACAGGAACAGGTAGACCAGAAATATCCATTTCAATTCCATTTATTTCAAGTGCCACAGTCTTCTTCGGTGGCTTCACACCCTGAGCTGAATCATCGCCGTTCTCCTTTGCCTTCTTGGGTTTTTTAGCTTTTGGAACGGCAAGAGCACCCTTCGATTTCCTTTTCTTCGACTTGCCTCCTTCCTTCTTAACAGCTAATTCCTCAATGCCATCCCCATTCTCATTTCTCGATGTATCCCCCAGTGGTGGTTGGATAAACGGCATGGAGAGTGCCTGCGATGTCTCGGGAAGAACAGCAGCATAACTCGGATTTGTGAGCTGCATATTATAAAACCTATGTCTCGGATTCATCCAATTATCCCTGACATAGTTCAACTGAGCAGGAGGCTCAACAACAGCAGTATCACGAGGGTGAAAAGTTCCATTCGCACCGACTAACATAGCCGGATCACGACCAGGAAAAAACGGTTTCGTTTCTCGATCATTAATATCAGGTATCAGATTCAGACCGAGATTCCCACCCTTGAAGGGTTCATAGTAACCCCAATTGGGCATATTCAGCACATCATCATCCATGACAACTACAAACAACACAAAACAAAGAACCATATAAAAAACCCAATCCAAACAAACCTTTCAATGCCAATTGTCAAAATCTTAACTAAACAACACTATTCAGCCCCATCAACTAAACAAGTCTAAACAAATAAAGCAGAACCTAGATCAATAAAACACATAAACCATACAATTAGATTGAAAAATGAGAAAAATCATAACACAAAAGCAAAAGTTAAATAAAAATTCAAAATTTAAATTATTATTTATCAATTTATCAATGTCAAATTCTTAGATCGAGCTCAGAAGAAACTAAAATTACCATTTCCGCGTAAATTAAAAAAACGGAACTTGGTCAATTTAATCGCCACAAAATTGAAAACCCTCGATCTGAATGTCGCTACAAACCCTACATTTTCCTAAGAACGAAACAGAAGAATACACATAAAAGGAGAATAGATCCGAAATCTTCATTTAGGGTTTCAAAATCTGAGAATAGATCTAGGTTATAATGGTGAATAGATACGAATCTACAGAAAAAAGATATTTTTATAAGGAGGTTCAAAAGGAGAAAAAAGGACCCATCAATTCAAATTTTAAAGGAGGGAGAGAGAAAGAGAGAGAAGGAGAGAGAGAAAAGGAGAGAGAGAGAGAGAGAGAGAGAGAGAGAGAGAGAGAGAGAGAGAGAGAGAGAGAGAGAGAGAGAAGAGGAGAGAGAAAACTTACTTGGTGGGTGCAAACGGTCTTTAGGTTTTGCCCCTTTCTGGAGAGAGAAGATTGAAATCTGAAAGAGAAAGATAAGAGAGAGGAGAGAGAATGGGAAAAATGGGAGAGAGAAATGATTCTTGAAAATAAAAATTGGAGTTGAAATAAAATATTTGACTTTATTTTTTTAATTTCAAGAATAAAATAAAGTTCAAAGACCAAAGGGAGTGAATAATGGCTGCATCAGCACAGAAAAAGATTTTTTTTTTAAATACACAAATAGATTAATTAATTAATTAATATTTATTGTTAGAAAAAAATATAGAGGCCTATAGATGCGGACAAAGATGTTTGTTTGTTTGAGAGAGACAAGATGGATTGAGAAAAAAATGTTGGATTTTCAAAAGAGTTGCCATGTTTGTGCTATACTGTCTCACTTGATTAAAATATGTAACTTTCATGCCAAGATCCTTACCTTTTGGCTTAATTCAATTTTAGTCTTTTATTTTAAAATTGATAAAACTTATATAAAAAAGTAAAACATATATTATCAAATAAAATAATTTTATATTGGCAATTACTCATCAATCTAATTTATTCTAAATTATTCTTAAATTAAAATTAATTTGATGAAATAATAAATTATTAAATTTTTATTACATTCTAATGTAAAACTATTCTATATTGTAACATATCGATTGAATTCGATTGGTGTTTCATTTGAAAATTTATTAATTTTAGGTTTTTTCTTCTACATGTTGAATAATATGATATATTTTAGAGGATATGACATACAATAATTTTTTTCTTCTAGATGTTTATATGAGAGACAACAGTTTTTTCTTCTAGATGATTGGGTAAAAAATGATAATATGATATATTTTAGATAATATGACATATAATAGTTTTTTCCTTCTAGATGTTTGGATAAAATAATAATAATATGATATATTTTAGATAATATTACATACAATAGTTTTTCTTCTTCTACATGTTTGGATAAAAAAATAACAATATAATATATTTTAGATAATATGAACACAATTGTTTTTTTTAAGATGTTTGCATAAATATTTAATATTAATAATATAATTATATTGGGTTATATTTGTAAAAAGTTTTGTTTAAGGTGATGTTTTTGGACCGCTTTAAAAGTTTGTTGGAACAAAATTGATTTGTTTCATATCTCTCGTGTTTTAATGATAACAAAGTATTTAAAAAACAATAGGATATACTAATGTTTGTTTAAGTGTGCAAGACCATATACTACAATTCATATTAAATTTAAGTATTGGTTCTGACTCTGAACATCTAAGAAGAAACGCAAAGATCATATTCTGATGTATCAGAAGCTGAAGAACTAACTCTGAAGAAGTCATCTTTCAAAGAGGTCAACATTGAAAGATCAGACTTTGGAGGAGTTAGCCTCTGAAGAACAAATTTTAGAGAAGTCTGCTTCTGGTGATCAGAATCTGAGCTAGTCAAAGTACAATGACCAAGGTGATATGAACGGGTCACAATTCATACTTTTTCACGTGATAACCTCAAGTTATAGGTTCTTCACAGAGTCTGTTGGGATACAACTGCTAATTTCTTTTGTTGCAAAGTTTTTTAAGCTATGTTTCACCTAACCTGACAGTTTGGTGAAACATCTCAACATGTCTCAACATCTCTTTTAAAACTTCTCATATGACTCAATGGTTGCATCTTCAACAACTATTTTCTTCATTATTTAAGGAGTTAAAAGACATGAATATCAAATATAACACTACAACACAAGAGCACAACAAAAAGGAATACACCTTGAAAATGCTAAGACACCACGATTGACAATCAAAGATAAGCTACCCTGTCAAAGTTTTAGCACAAGCTAAACTTAGGATTTATTATCTTTGAATATCTTAGAAATCCTTAATTCCTAAAAGACTCCTATATGTTGTATTATTTATACACCTCTAATTGTATATCAAGTGTATCAATCTAACAATCATTTATCTGCTAGATAGATTGTTAGAAGTCTCTTACCAAGTATTTGAGCAAGAAAGTCTCATACTTGTGTGTGTGAGTAAGGAAGTCTTGAGCTTGTGTGCTTGAGCAAGGAGGTCTTTAGCTTGTATGCTAGAGCAAGAAAGTCTCATACTTGTGTGTGTAGACAAGAAAGTCTTGAGCTTGTGTGCTTGAGCAAGGAATTATTTAGCTTGTGTGCTAGAGTAAGAAAGTTTTAGGCTTGTGTGCTTGGGCAAGAAAGTCTCAGACTTGTGTGTTTGAGCAAGGAAGTTTTATACTTATGTGTAAGCAAAGAAGTCTCTTGCTTGTGTGCTTGAGCAAATTGTAATCTTGTGTGATTATAGTGAGAATCTCTTATAAGTACAAAGGTTCTGGACTACTCTTAAATTGTGAGAGGAACCATGATAATTTTGTGTATTATTCTATCTTTCTTACATTTTATATTCGTTATCTATCTCTAACTAACTCACATTCTATAACCTTGTGTTTAGAGTTTGACTTAAGAGTTTTAAAAAGAAAGTAAAAGTTAACACAATTCAATTGCTCCTTCTTGTATTTTTCTCACTTTCAATTGTCATCAAAGCACAATCTGTGATTAACTTTTAACAATGGTACATAAAAGATCTTGAGAAAAACATATTGAAGTATGTCAAGTGTTTTCGAATCTGGGAGTAGTACTCCTATTCCACATGTTGCTATAAATCATAATTATAGTAATCTAGAAAAAACAACTATATGACTAGATATCCAACTTTCAGTGGAGACTCTACTGAGTTTGAATGGTGGAAGAGAAAGATGCATACTCATATCATAAGCCTTGATGATGAGTTATGAGATGTTTTAGAAGATGACATTGATATTCCAGTCAATGGAGTTGGAATGGTGTTTGATAGAAAAGCTCTCACACCAGCTCATAAAAAGGTTTATAGAAAATATCATAGAGTTAGAGGTATATTGGTTTATGCTCCACCTCATTCAGAGTGCATCAAAATCATTGAAAAACGTACTGCTAAGACCATTTTCAATTCCCTATATGCTACTTATAAAGGGAATCAACAAGATCAGGAAGTTAAGGCTAACCTTCTGGTTTAGCACTGAGTTGTTCAGAATTAAGGAGGATGAAGACATTAAAGCTATTTTCTCTAGGTTTCAAGTTCTTGTATCTGGACTTTAGGTTCTGAACAAGATCTATACGGCATCTAATCGTGTAAAGAAGATTCTTAGGAGTCTTCCTGTCAGATACATACCTAAAGTGACAGCTATACAGGAGACTAAATACATAAACACATTAAGTCTTGAAATTCTCATCATTAATCTCCAGAGCCATGAGATAGAGCTCAATGGAAATGAACATGTCAGAAGGAAAAATCCCCTTGCTTTGAAATCTGTTGCTAGAACTGTAAAGGATTCTCAAGTCTAGGAGTCTGAAGAAACTTCTCAAGCAGAAGATTTTGAATATGATTCAAATCATGAGGAAATAACCTTCATCATTAGAAGATTTCACCATCTGACCAGGAAGAACGAAAGATTCTCTAGCAAGAGCAGTGACTTTAGAGGATTTGGCTCTAGATTAAAAAAAAAGATGATTAGAAAAGATTATTCAACTGTAAGAAGCTTAGTCACTTCATTGTTGAATGTCCTAAAATACAAAAGGAGAAGCCAAAGAAGGAAATTTTTCAGAAGGATAGCTTCAAGAACATATTCAAGAAAATTCTTATGCCAACATGGGATGAACTTGACAATGAAGAAGACTCTAAAAAGGATGAAGAACAAGTCAATCTGGAGTTAATAGCATTTACATCTTCAGAAGCAGAATCTGGTTCAAATTCTGGCTCAGAGTATGATGAAGAGGATGAGGTAGTTTGTAAACTTTCTCATTTTTGATTTAATTACTTTTATTTATGAGCTTATGGAAAGATATCAAGAGAAAGCCAAACATTTGAAAATACTGAAGAAGCAATATGATCTTTTGAAAGATAAGGTAAAATATGTTCCAAACAAAAATGAAACTCTAGAAGAAGAACATATTGTTCTAGTAAAGAAAGTGTCTAACACGCCTCTTGATGAACATAAAGTGGCTCTTCAAGAATTTCTCATAAATGGTTTCGATAGAACTAAACTTGCTTCCATAATTTATGAAGTAAGTAGAAGCAAAGAGGAAGGTTTGGGTTACTCACAAAAAAAATTTAATCCAAGGTTTGAAACCTTTAGTAATCCAACAGACCCTTCCTCTTCAAGCTCTGCTCAAAAAGAGCTTGAATCTTATATTGCACCTACTGCTGAAAATGCAAAGGTTCTGACTCAGATAT